ATTAGCTTAAGTTCCCTTCTCAACCAGATTCCCCTTATCTCTGAAGTAATATGTAATTTTGCACTCTTGATTTTTTTCCAAAACACTCTTCTGCTCCAAGTGTGTAACCATGCACGATTATGTCGTTTCCTAATTCTGCTCTTCTCAGGCTTGTACTTGAACCTCCAAGCTTTCAAACATCTCCTCTTCTTCTTTGAGTGTAGTTTTTCTCTATGTGGAAAACTTATGTCGAACACATTGTAGGCAGAACTTATTGGTAAAACTGATCACTTTTTGAATCTTAGCAACATCATCGTTAACCATATCAATTTCAATGTTTTTCTGCATTTCAGCCTGTATCATCACAGTATCTAAGTTTTCCACCACAGGATTCACTGGCACCACAGTTTTTGATGCATTCTCCAAGTTATCCTTCTCACATGAGAATCCAAAAACTTGATTCATTGATTCATCCTTCTCATCTAAGAATCCAACAACTTGATTCGCTGATTCATCCGACTTTGACTGCTGCGCCTGAAACGATTGTTGGAACTTCTCCCATCGTCGTTCTCGCTCCAAGTCAAACTCGATTCTCTCAGAATCGTCATCGGTACCAAAAGCACACAACAATGATCCCGTCATCGCATGCCAACTCTGGTAAGGCATCAGCGACTCTACATCGCAAAAAAAATCGTGTGCGTCTCCTTCGACGAAGCCATGTGCAAGATGCAACTTCTCAAAATCAGTGTAATCGCCCAACACAAAACGATTCTCCATCCAATCTAGCCAAGGACGCAAATCAGATTTCGCACCTGTGAAAATTGGAACCGCAACAAGATCTCTGGCATTGGATTCGATCTGAGCACACGAACGCACCATTTGATAAGATTGAAACCTATGAACTCTTCTCTCATATCCTCTTCTCACTCCACAATACAATCACAACCCGTAATTAACAAGGTTGGAGTTACAATTCTCTAACCTCATCTTCTAAGAACAGAGCATGCAAGCTCTAACAACTCACAATGATGATCACGCAGGATAATAATAATGATCCTACTACATATCTATTTATACTATTTTCCCTTCTCATACTTCTCTTTAGCTATTCACACGTGCATACTCTTCCATGTACTTATCACTCTTAAGATTGATAGAAGTTATGTACTAACACAAGTTTTGTTGAGTGATTTTAATGCTTTCATTTGAGTATAAAGCAACAACAAATGCATTTGGAGAGTTCAAATGATTCATTTCGTAAGGAGAATAATGCTGCTGTCTATCTTTGTACTAATTGGATATATCACTTCCAGGCTTGGTGTAGCATATGTAGTCTGCATAAAATGCTGAAGCCTTCTCATTGGAGTCTTGACTGTGAATAAGAGTAAGGTTCTCACCTTTAGAGATAGTTGGAACTCTATGTCCTCTAATTTCCGTCAGGACACAAATATCACTTATCCAATTCTTCTTCAGCAAAACAGAACCCATCACACCTTGTAGCTGGGCCAACAGCTTGTGAAACTTAAAATCCAGCTCAAATGCTCTGTAAAAATCCATCATGTGAATTTGAAATTCGTTTCTTCCTCCAAAAAAAATATCTAACTTGACATTCTGTTTCAAACTAGCATGAGAACTGTGAATATCTAGTCTCATATCTGTCCAAAAGCTCTCAAACCGCTCCTCAATGTTACCAGGATTACATTTATGGATTAAAAGAGATGGAGGATCAGAATGTTGTTGAATCAACAAACAATGCTGAAGCAGGAGTTTCATTAGCTTAAGTTCCCTTCTCAACCAGATTCCCCTTATCTCTGAAGTAATATGTATTTTTGCACTCTTGATTTTTTTCCAAAACACTCTTCTGCTCCAAGTGTGTAACCATGCCAGATTATGTCGTTTCATAATTCTGCTCTTCTCAGGCTTGTACTTGAACCTCCAAGCTTTCAAATATCTCATTTTCTTCTTTGAGTGTAGTTTTTCTCTATGTGGAGAACTTATGTCGAACACATTGTAGGCAGAACTTATTGGTAAACCTGATCACTTTTTGAATCTTAGCAACATCATCGTTAACCACATCAATTTCAATGTTTTTCTGCATTTCAGCCTGTATAATCACAGTATCTAAGTTTTCCACCACAGGATTCACTGGCACCACAGTTTCTGATGCATTCTCCAAGTTATCCTTCACACATGAGAATCCAACAACTTGATTCATTGATTCATCCTTCTCATCTAAGAGTCCAACAACTTGATTCGCTGATTCATCCGGCTTTGACTGTTGCGCCTGAAACGATTGTTGGAACTCTTCCCATCGTCGTTCTCGCTCCAAGTCAAACTCGATTCTCTCAGGATCGTCATCGGTACCAAAAGCACACAACAATGATCCCCTCATCGCATGCCAACTCTGGTAAGGCATCAATGACTCTACATCGCAAACAAAATCGTGTGCGTCTCCTTCGACGAAGCCATGTGCAAGATGCAACTTCTCAAAATCAGTGTAATCGCCCAACACAAAACGATTCTCCATCCAATCGAGGTAAGGACGCAAATCAGATTTTGCACCTGTGAAAATTGGAACCGCAACAAGATCTCTGGCGTTGGATTCGATCTGAGCAAACGAACGCACCATTTGATAAGATTGAAACCTATGAACTCTTCTCTCTTATCCTTTTCTCACTCCACAATACAATCACAAACCCTAATTAACAAGGTTGGAGTTACAATTCTCTAACCTCATCTTCTAAGAACAGATCATGCAAGCTCTAACAACTCACAATGATGATCACGCAGGATAATAATAATGATCCTACTACATATCTATTTATACTATTTTCCCTTCTCATACTTCTCTTTAGCATTTCACACGTGCATACTCTCCCACGTACTTATCACTCTTAAGATTGATAGAAGTTATGTACTAACACAAGTTTTGTTAAGTGACTTTAATGCTTTGAAGTGTACTCTTTGGCTGCATTACGAATCCTTACGTAGGATAGTCACATATGTTTGTTGAAATGCCTCGTACGTTGGGCATGGTTGGATTCTGAAGCTTACTTTTATTGTCACTTTTGTTATTCTTTAGGTACATAAAGAGTGGTTTAAAGTTTGGATGACAAGAATATTAAGAGGTTACATTAATCTTTGGATTGGTGGGAGAAGAGATTGTATGATGTGTCAGAAAAGAAAGAATATTTGCTTTTGTGGATGTGTAGATGTATTGTTGATTACTCGAGTATTTAACCCGATAACTTAACCGAAGTAAAGTATATGCGGGATCGATCACAAGTAGCAATGGTACACTAAAGACTTTCGAGACTCATTATTAGCTAAAGCGGAAAGACTTGCTGTTTGTTTTTCAGTTTTTGTAAATAAAAATGCAAATAAAGATATTAAACTTATGAATTAAAAACATTGGGCTGCAGGGTATTTTCAGAGAATCAATGAATAACAAATAAAAGCAATAAGGAATTCAAACATGAAGAACCGTTCTTGGGTGAATTAAAGACGTTTTGTTTCAGGAATTAAAGACGTTTTGTTTCAGGAATGTGCCGTCCGGTCGGATCGATCGGTCTGGTGATGGACCGATCGGTCCATGTTCTGCATCAGCTAAAGTTCCACTTCCTTGCCCGAAACTGGTCCAAAACGCGTCAATTCTGCTCCAACCGCTTATCCCCTGCTCAAGACTTAAAACACGACTCGAAAGACACAAAAGACGGACTAAAATACGATAAACGACTCAAAATGGACATAAAAGAAAGGGTGAAAGACTCTAAAAACACCGTATATCAACTCCCCCCGACTTAGATTCTTGCTTGCCCTCAAGCAAAACAAAAATCTTAATCAAGAGAACAGGTTTGAAAACGTGAGAACTCACATATTCTGTTGGGATCATGCTCTTAATCAATTGCCTGCAAACCACTATCACAAAGTTTATATCAAACCGTACAATAATGTACTTCACCATGACATCATGAGATCCCTAAATCACAAAGAACTTCAGAATCAGATAACTTAACCTTTTAACATTCATTAGCAGTTTCGTGCACTCTCACAAAGGGGATATCGAACACGTTATGGTCTAGGTGTAAAGGCAGTTTAAGGTGGCTCAAGTGTTTAAGGTTCAGCAATAATATGAACGGATGCAAATCATTATGCAAAATCACAGTGAGACACAGACCAATTGGGAGGTACATAACTTCCCTCTAACTCGGATCACCTTAACCAAATCAAACCCCAAACAAATCATAAGTATTATAGACGCTTTTCAAATACAACAAAAGATTTATCGACTTTTCTGGTTCCATTCTTTCTCCTTTCCCGTTCTTTTTTTTTTTTTTTTTTTCTTTTTTTTTTTTCTTTTTTTTAAAGGGGGAGTGGAACCGTTTCTCGTCTCACAAACTGCATCAACAAAACTCAATCATGATCGCTCACAGCACATGCTCATAAATATGACAATATAACCACAAGAACTCAATGTCAATAATCCCAAACAACTACAATTACAATCCTAACTAAAGGAAAGCTATGTCGGTCTGTATACTCCGTAGTTTTTGCACATGAATGCACATGATGACAATTACACAAGAATGCATGTAGTATGAAGCATGGATAGGGATAAAGGTGTGGTACTAGACTAAAGATGAGTCTAGCCATTCAGAGTTTACAAAGAGTGGTAAAACAACGCGGATTAAACTCTGAATATATTATCCATTACATGATTACCAACCCCCTAAGTGAGATATAACAAGTCAAGATTAAGTTCAAATAAGCAAGGTTAAGATCAAATCATCCAAATTTCGAAGTGAGGGATTATACGAGTGATATAGTCATGAATTTTCCTGAAGTTCCAAGTTATCCTTAAACAATGCTAAATGGTCCCAAGGCAATGAAATCAAGCAAGGTGCAATTCCCTAAGAAAAGCTCATAGTTCTCATACAGCATTTTGACTCAATAGAACAGACACGATTTGACTCGATAAAACAAACTGACAGACTCAAGAAAACATCAAAATGAAACATAAGAAAAGTAAACTACATCAGTAGACTAATGACACCTCCTCCAGACTTATTTCACACCGTCTCGGTGTGAGAATAAATCCAAAAGAAGCGTCGGACTGACTCAAAGAGAAGCAAAATAAAGAAAAGAAAAATGGTATATAACAAGGAAAATAGAGAGTGTTACACTGCTCAGTGCTGACGTGGTGGACTCTCACTAGAGCTGTGAGCCTGGCCTGGCTCCCTCCTGCTTCTCCTGAGACGTGGAGCTGTACCACTCGGGCCAGTAGTATCCTGACTGTGCTTGCGGCGGTTCTCCTGTCCAATGGCTAGCCCAGGTGTGGTCTGAGCCTCTGTGGCTCCTTCTTCTGTGTCTGCTGAGCTCTGATCTTCTGAAGCCTCAGAACCGTCATCCTCTGAATCCTCTCCCTGTGTACGTGAACCAGAAGCACAAGAACAGGGTCGAATCTTCATCATCGCTCTCCACATTCGGCGCATCATAGAGTTGTTAGTCTTCTGAGACTCAACAACCCACTACAACTGTGCAGACATATCTCCAGGTGGAGGTGTAGGCTGTAGCCGGTATCGTCCAGGACTGTGAGGGAGGAGCCTGTGAGGGGTCCTCCTCGTCGATCTCATCATCACTAGCCACTGCTGCCTGTGCAGGCTGGGAAACTCGTGTAGATACTCTGCGTCGAGTAGGTACGCGAGCAGCTGTCTTAGCAGGGTTGGGAATCAAATGTTCAGAACTAGGGAGAAACGCCAAGTTCTCCCGAGAGAGAAGCACTGTGATTGCTGGACTGGGAGGTAACAGTACAATGGTAGTCCTTGAAGATCCCAAAACTTGTAGACGTATCTCTGTACCAGAATATGACAATGCATCAAGTAATCGATGTCCACTCGAACTATGTTCTCATTCACTTTTGCGGTAGACAAATCAATACCACAATGAATGAACAAAGGGGTGAGAAAGGTACCCATGAACAGCTGCTTAGGAGGGTTGAGCTTCACTTTCACAAACGTCTCGCACAGAATGGCTGCATAATTCGCTGTAAGCTCAATGGGGACGTTGTATTCTGCCAACAGATGTCTAACTCCAAAAAATAGCATCCACAGCTCATCATCACGAACTGAGCCAGACTCAGCCTTGAAGAAAAAGGCGTTGCTGATGATCTTGACACAAATGCGGAGAACCGGATTGCGGATGGCAGTAATCTTTGCACCCCTGGACGTGTACTGTCCCTGACCAATCAAACCCCAGAAATCACTTGAGTCTTGTCGAGGAAAGCGTGTGAAACGATAAGCATCAACCTTGGGAAAGTCATAGACCTCACAAAACTCAAAGAGTGACATAGAAAAGTGCTTCTTGTTTACGAAGAATGTGAGCGTTCCTTCACTCGCCACTGGGTCTTGAAGATCACTTTAACGAAGACGACACGTGGCTAAGAACTCCTTAACTAACTTGGGATAAGTGAAGTGTTCCAGGCACCAAGCTTTCCCAAGGCCTATGGTCTGAAATAATGTCTCTGCATCTTCAAGCAGTCCAAGGGAGCTCAGAGCGTCTCGACAACCACTTCTAGTGGGATGAACTTCAACCGAGCTCAGAGCGGCTAAACACTTAGTGTCAATGGAATCCCATCGCTTCGTTATAGGCCGAGTATTCGGGTTTACACTCGTGGACCTAGTGGAACTTTGTCCTCGGCTTGATCCAGCAGCTTCCCTTGTTCGCCCCATCACCTACAAAACAAGAGAGTTGGCATCATGAAACAGTTTCTAACATGCAATCAACAATTAAGCACAATTAAGCTCAAAATCCCAATTATTTCAACAATTAAGCTTAAAAACTCAACTAATCCAACAATTAAACACAATTGGGAGTATGATAATGCAAGAGTGAGCTAGTGTTACTTAGTTATAAGCATAGCACAAGAATTCAGCAACAAATCCATGAAAATCGAATTCTCTATCAAATTTTAAGTTCATTCCCAATTTTACTCAAAAGTCAAAAAATCAAACTTCCAAATTTCCAATAATTTAGCAATTAAACACCATAAACAAGCTTCCCAACCTAGTATAGACTAGAATCCAACAGAATTTCACCATTCAACCCAATGAAACTAGAAATTTGGAGTTTTAGAGACAAACCATGCAAATTCGGACTGTAAATAGGGAATTTCGAACTCATACCTTTGTAGATCGATCAAACCACCACCACCAACAGAAAGAGTGCAAAAAATCGAGTTGTTTAGAGCCAAAAATCGTCCAAATCCGTTAACAATCGAGAGAGTTATGAAGATTTCAATTTTGGGTACAAAGTGTTCTTCAATAGAAAGAAGAAGACCAAAATCGAGTTTTATTGTGAAATAACTCTTGAATTCTCGATTTTTAAGGGTTTTAACCGGTTTAGTTTGGTTTAGTTTTAAAAAAAAATTGGTTCAATTTCGATTTGCACAAGGTTCGGTTTGAAAACTAACCTGGGACCGATCGGTCCGACGAAACGACCGATCGGTCGGTTGCTGCCGGGTCTGGAACGATGATAGCGATCGATCGATCGGAAGAAACGATTGATCGGTCGGCTGCTGCCGGTTCTGGCTCGATGCAAACGACCGATCGATCCGACTCTACGGATCTTGAAGCGATTAACGACCGATCGATCGGAAGAAACGACCGATCGGTCGGCTGCTGCCGGGTCTTTCAGAACCCAATGGATCGATCGATTCTTGTAAGGACCGATCGGTCCTTCTTTCCTGCACATAGAAAACTAAAAAGCAGCATGAAACAGCATGGTTTGATCGGTTTAGAGTTGGACCGTCCGTCACTCCCAGCAGAGTGGAATCGAAGCAAAAAGATGAAAAAAAAAATAAGTTTGAAAGCAATAAAACCAGAATATATATACAAGATACCTAGTGGGTTGCCTCCCACGAAGCGCTTGTTTAAGTTCTTTAGCTTGAGCGTAATGAGCTCTTAAGCTTGATCGGGATCTGTAAGAGGAACCGTAGTGACCTCTTCAGAATTGGACTACGCGAGATACGGTTTCAATCTCTATCCATTCGCAGCGAATGGTTCACCCTCGTTACTCAAAAGCACCACAGAACCATTAGACCTCACTTCCTTAACGACGAAAGGACCAGACCATCTTGAACGAAGTTTTCCGGGGAATAGCTTAAGCCTAGAGTTGAATAGGAGCACCTGATCACCTTCAGTGAACTTCTTCAAGATTATCTTCTTGTCATGAAGAGCTTTTGTTCGTTCTTTGTAGATGCGAGAGCTCTCATAAGCATTCAAACGAATCTCATCTAACTCATTAAGCTGAACCAAACGTCGCTCTGCTGCAGGCTTAATGTCGAAGTTCATCAGTTTTGTTGCCCACAAAGCTTTGTACTCCAACTCTACTGGCAAATGACATGACTTCCCATAGATGAGGTTGAACGGTGTAGTTCCAATGGGAGTTTTGAAGGCGGTTCTATATGACCAAAGAGCATCATCGAGCTTTGCAGCCCAGTCTTTTCTAGATTTACCCACAGTCTACTCCAGAATCCCTTTAATCTCCCGGTTGGAAAGTTCCACTTGGCCACATGTTTGAGGATGATAAGGCGTGGCAACTTTGTGCTTAACACCATGCTTCACCAACAAGTTTGCAAAAACTTTATTGATGAAATGTTTTCCTCCATCACTAATCACCACTCTTGGAACCCCGAATCGTGGAAAGATGATCTTCTTAAACATTTTAAGCACCACTGTAGCATCATTCTTTGGACTGGCTATGGCTTCAATCCATTTAGAAACATAATCTACAGCAATCAAGATATACTCGTTCCCATAAGATGATGGAAAAGGACCCATGAAGTCAATTCCCCACACGTCAAACACCTCCACTTCGAGAATGAAATTCTGAGGCATTTCATTTCTCTTGCTGATATTACCCTTGCGCTGGCAAGCATCACACCTTGCAACAAACCCATGAGCGTCTCTGAACAAAGTAGGCCACCAAAAACCAGCTTGGAGAACCTTAGTGGCAGTCTTGAAGGAAGCGAAGTGACCCGCATAATTTGAGGCGTGACAATGTTGAAGGATGCCATCAACTTCACTCTCTGGAATACATCTTCTAAAAAGGTTGTCGGCACACTTCTTGTAGAGATAAGGCTCGTCCCAGTAGTAATGTCTAACATCTCTCAAAAACTTTTTCTTTTTATAACCGGTGAATTCCGGAGGTGGAACATCACAAGACAAGTAATTAGCAAAATCAGCATACCATGGCAAATTACTCTCTCCAGTGTGTAGTGTCATGAGCTCAAAAACGTTTGTGTGTGCTCTCTCTACTTCAGCGATGTAACAGTTTTCAATTGATGCTAGCTCTTCTCCTGGAAGGGTGTCCCTCATTGGGATGTCGTCCTCAACTCTTAGTCTTGACAAGTTATCAGCTACCCCATTCTCAATCCCTTTCTTGTCTTTAATCTCCAAGTCAAACTCCTGCAGCAAGAGTATCCATCTCAATAATCTCGGCTTGGCATCTTTTTTAGACAATAAGTATCTCAAAGCAGCATGATCTGTGTGAACAATGAGTTTAGACCCAACCAGGTATGATCTAAACTTCTCAAAAGCAAACACAATTGCAAGCAGCTCCTTCTCTGTGGTGGCATAATTTACTTGAGCGCCATCAAGAGTGCGACTGGCATAGTAAATAGCATGTAGCTTCTTATCTTTTCGCTGTCCCAAAACAGCACCCACAGCATAGTCACTTGCATCACACATCACCTCAAAAGTCAGCTCCCAATATGGTGGTTGCACAATGGGGGCACTCACCAAAGACTTCTTAATCGTTTTGAATGCCTGCAGACAGCTCTCATTGAACTCAAACTTCTGTTTCTTGCACAACAACTGCGTGAGAGGTCTAGCAATCTTGGAAAAATCTTTGATGAACCTTCTGTAGAACCCAGCATGACCCAGAAAGCTCCTGACTCCTTTCACAGAATTTGGTGGCTGCATACTCATCATGACTTCAATCTTGGCTCTGTCAACCTCAATACCCTTTTCTGAAATTCTGTGCCCAAGTACAATACCATCCCGCACCATGAAATGACACTTCTCCTAGTTTAAGACCAAGTGTTTGTCCTCGCAACGCTGAAGTACCCTTCATAGATTAGACAAACAAGCAGCAAAAGAAATACCATGCACAGAAAAATCATCCATAAAAACCTCCATAAAGTCCTCAATTATATCACTAAAGATAGACATCATGCAACGCTGGAAAGTAGCAGGGGCATTACATAATTCAAAAGGCATTCTACGATAAGCAAAAGTACCATAAGGACAAGTAAATGTGGTTTTCTCTTGATCATCGGGATGGATCGAGATTTGAAAGAATCCCGAATACCCGTCAAGAAAGCAGTAATATGGATGGTTTGACAGTCTTTCAAGCATTTGATCAATAAAGGGTAGTGGAAAATGATCTTTACGGGTTGTAGAGTTAAGTTTTCGATAATCAATGCACATACGGTGTCCTGTGACAGTTCTTGTTGGTATTAGTTCATTCTTTTCATTTTTAATCACAGTGACACCGCCTTTCTTAGGCACAACATGGACCGGGCTCACCCAAGTACTATCAGAGATAGGATAGATGACACCCGCATCTAGAAGTTTCATTATCTCTTTCTTTACAACATCTCTGAGATTAGGGTTTAACCGTCTCTGATGTTCTACAGAAGTCATTGATTCATCTTCTAGATATATCCTGTGCATACATAGAGTGGGAGAGATGCCTGTGATATCATCAAGAGAATAGCCCAAGGCTTTTCTATATTTTCTCAATTCACACAACAGCAAGGCACTCTCCACATTGTTCAACTCAGCATTAATTATCACAGGGTAAGAAGAATTAGGACCAAAAAAC